GAGTCAGTCGTCTCGGTAAACAGCATAACACCGTCTCACTCGGCCTCCCAGATTGGCTTCTCCACTCAGGGTAAGGCACGCACAGAACCACCCGCGCAAAGGTTTGTTGCGTCCGTATCGTATTGGTCCAACAAGAAGGGGATTTGGAAAGACATCAGCTCCGAACCCTCCTCCATCGTGGTCCATCCGGGAAGCATGGAAGTCCATCGCCTAATAAACGGGGCACACCCCAACCCACAAGCATTCCCGCTTCAGTCGTCTAGGATATCGGAGGTCGACAATCGAAACAAGGCTGCTAGAGGCGACGTACCGCTTGTTGGCTTGATTCTCACCCCTGTGGTTATGATCCGCAGAAGCACCGTCTTAGATCTTGAGGTTCGCGGCCGCGCGTCTCCTGAATCGCGCCTGAAGATCGATAGCGCCATGTACCGTTTCCGCGCAGCGTCTCAGGGAGAGGCTAAGGATCTGTACGAGGCAGTACACCAGAGCCGGTTGAACAATGCTAGGTACATTCAACTGAGTGAGGAAGCACGCTTCCGTTCCTTCGGGCAGCATCAGGCCATGGATGCTGCTGAAGGCAGTGGAGACGGTTCCACCTCTAGCCGTCGTCGGAGCTGGTTCGGACGCAAGAACAGCTACCGCGCTTCAACCCGCGCCCCAAGTGTCTCCCAGGGCAGCACCTCTTCAACCGCCATCTCAGCTAGCAGCTTCCTCAGACGTCTGATGGGCGGCGGCAACACATCATTCAATATTGACAAGTCCTCCGTCGACAAGCACTCGCGTCCAGGCTCTGTCGCTAATGGTCACAGTGGCGGTGGCGGCGGCGGCGGCGGAGGCAGCTTATATACATCAAGCGCATCGTCGTCAGGAGGTGGAGGTGGAGGTTACGGATCATCGACCCCGCCTCGTAGTGCGTCGATATCCCTCTCCGGATCGGGCAGCCAGAGCCGCTGGAGCAACGGCTTGCAAAAACCCTTTTCGCCTGAGCGCCCACTCGAGATCCGCTGCCATCTCAACGTACAAAGTAATCGCTGGGCTGACAAAGGCGACTGTATCCTGACCATCGGCCGCCCTCCCCCGGGTGTTCGCCAGGAACTGAGGTTGTATCACGGCATGGAGAAGCGGGTCATTGTCACGCACGCCAGTAAGAAAGACGGCGACAACCCCATCATCCTGCTAGACGCCGTGTTGGGGTCCAAATGTTTTAGTATGCTCGGAACCAAGGGCATCATGTGCAGCGTGTGGGAGCAGCTACGCGACGAGGAAGGCAATGTCGGCGTCGCCCCTCGCACGGGAGCCATAGCGGGTAAAGTGACCAAGTGGTGTTTCCAGTGCAAGAGTGTGCAGCAGGCCAACTGGATAATGGGCATGGTTACGTCTGAGGTGCCCGGGGTGATATTGAACTAGGAGAAGCACCATCATCCACGAGACCCAGACGAAGGCGAATCCCAGCGCCAAAACCCACTGGGAGGGCCATTCGAGCAGGCCGAGCAGTTCGAGCAATCCGAGCAATCCGAACATGTGAGGCGGGAGAAGAGGAGAGCGGGACGTGAGGGCAGCATTAACAATAAAGAGAAGGGGGAGAAGAAGAAGAAGCTAACGGGCACTTTTTCTCTAAGGAAAAGACTCGTGGAGAGGACATTATCCTGGCACTCCTCGACATCATCATCATCAAAATCATTTTCGAGGGGATAGAGTTGATTGGGGCATATTTCACTAATAATAGTCGGTTCTCTGTCCATCTTTATTCCCCGCAACTACTTTGAGTTGCTATATTTATTATTCTGCTTTGATTATAACAGGCATAGCGTGCGTGGGTGGGGGGAACGGGATCTTTTAGAGGAGGGGTTCTTTGTTATATGGTGATGGTTGTATCGAGTACAGACGGGTGGGAAAGGAATTATGATATCCCTGGGGAGCTTGTTTTGACAAATGTACATCCTACTCGTTTCTTTGGTACATTTTGATCTTTCGTCTGGTATGACGAACGAGATGATACACTGCTGTTGTTATATCCGCGTTATATACCTAGCAGTAACCAGATAACTGGGGCGTGTATGCTCTGATGGAGTGCGACAATAAACCTCACTTTGACACTCACGATGCCGATAATAGTCTCCCCTAGACAGTGAGATAAACAAACGAACTCAGAAACACCCAATTTTGAAGTGTCAAGACACCTGTACGGTCTGAAGCACGACTCTTGTCTGTCCGCAACTGGATGGAGCCGCCTCATCCATGCATAAGTAAAACCGTAATGCATCTAAGCGAGGACTGGCCCAGGCTCGACTTCTGATACGCCAAATGAGCTCAGTGCCCAAACACTGCCTAGCCGTATTTGGTCAGGTAGCTGAAGCTCCCCCATTCTCCGTCCAAGCTCGCCTATTGTGCGGCGCGCAGCAGGATCCTGTCGCGCTTTCTTGCCGCGCGCAGCGACTCACTCTCCCTTCAAAGAACGCTTGCGACCTCTCTTTGTGTGCGATCTTCACCAACTCTTCAGCTTCTCTGTCGCCCAATCTTGTTTTGTCATCTTCTAAAAACAAGGGCAACAAGAAGACAAGAACTTGCTACTCATCACTTCGGGCGACTTGACGACATCATCTTTTCTATTTTCGTCCCGTCCTCTTGCGCGCGCGCGTCTTTTGCTGCGTATTTTTGCGCCCGCAACCCCCGAGACCTATCCATCTCGTCGAGTGTTCATCCCAGCGCTTTCTATTCCTCCTTCCATCATGGCCGCCGATTCGTACCAAACCCTCAAAGTACCCGAGCTTAAGAAGTTGCTCAACGAACGTGGCCTCCCGCAGACCGGTAACAAGGCAGACCTGATTGCGCGCCTGCAAGAGAACGACAAGGAGAAGAACCAAGCCGCAGAAGAAGCGCAACCGGAACCTGAGCCCGAGAAGCAAGCTGGTAAGCAGATACTACTTCGTACAGCAGAGCGCGATTCCCGCAAACCTTACAATACAAAACCTCTCTTTCCTTTCGTCTCGAATTCCTTGACACAAAGGAGAGCATGCATCGCGGTGTCAAGTCATGGCTAGTCACTATGGGCACTTCCCTTGCTGACCTACCCGTTCCGACAGCGCCAGCAGAGAAGAAAAAGGAGGAGCCTGCAAAGGAGGAGGACGAGATCGATTATGACGACGATGACGAGCCGCCTGCTGCAGCTCCAGCTCCTGTGAAGGACGCTGCTGCCGCCCAGCCAACCGAGGACAAGCCAGCTGCTGCCAACACTGAGACGGCCGAGTCAAAGGAGGCGGGAAACGGTACCACCGCCGCAGATAAGCCAGCGGAGCCATTGTTCTCGCAACACCTCCCGCCAACAGACGCCAAGACAGAAGCCGAGAAGCGCGCCGAGCGCGCCAGGCGGTTTGGCATCACTGCTGAAGAGAATGCGGACGAGGAGGCAAAGAAGAAGGCGGCGCGCGCGGAGAAGTTCGGACTGGCCAATGACCAGGTCTCGGCGATTGACAGCGCGCTGCCGGACAGGCCGTCGCGCAAGCGTGGGCGCGGTGGTGAAGACAAGAAGGAAGAATCTGAAAATGTTGTGGCCAGTGGGGGTCGGGGGAACAAAAGACGGCAGCAGGGCGGGAACAGAGATGGTGGGAACAGGAATGAGGGTGTTGGAAACAGACGAGGACCTCCACGAGGAAACAACAACAACAACAATAGGGATCGTCGCGGTGGTGGGAGACAAGAAGGAGGTAGTGGACGGCCACAACGGCAGAGGAACGGTCCTGGGGGTGGGAAGAAGGAGTCAGGAGGTGCTGCCATGGACCCTACTGAAAAGGCTAGGATGGAGGCACGCGCCAAGAGGTTTGCTGCTGCTAACTAAATTAATAAATTAGTTTCATGCGACAGAGACACCCTCAGCGGGGGATTTCATGAAATCCCCTTCCTAGTTGTTGTAAGGGATGATGCGGAACATGTTCCGTTGTATTTCTATAGTAAACTCATAAAAGGGATGGATGAGATGATACGGAAGGGTATGAAACTAGAAAAGAGCGCCACACACAACATAGGTTCGCAGTTATGTTAGGTCAGGGCGTTTTAGGTTGTCAATTTAGTTAGTTTAGTTTGGTTTTATTAGGTATCAATTTCGATCGATCATTGTGATTACGTCTTTCATCATCAGAGTGAGTGTGCTGTTGAGTTGGACAATCACAACTCTTTACTTGCCCCTTAGATGCAAGGTTCTCGCATCTACGTTTTGTTCGAAGACGTTATCATCTGTGGCTATGCGTGTGTCTATCTGTCTGTTTTCCCCCTTGCCAGGATTATGAGAACTCTGGAGAACATTCTCAGGCTTTTTTTTTTTTTTTTTTTTTGGCTGTAATCCAACTCCTAAATGGGACGAGACTGACCCGATGAAGTGACATACATCTTCGGTTCACAACTAGCCTATTACTGTTGAAGCGAGGAGTGCTAAACTAAGGTAACTCGAATCCAACGTTCCTTAGTAATAAATCTTAACTCGACATCACAAACAGTGAGACATGCGCCTGCAGACTATTACATGACGTACATAAGGAGGACAGGTTGTTGTCGATGTCGTACAGCATCTTGGAGAGTTAAGAAAAGTATGTGATACCTCACTGACAGATCGCAATCGCAGGTTGGGGGGTTAATAAGTAAAAAAACTGAGCGACTAGGGGTGGCTTTGTGTGAGTGATAAAGTGACATCCCTGAGCTGTTGTCGTCATCTTCTCATCTTCATGGAGTTTCAGGTTGATCTTATTAGTTTCGTTCATAAACATTACCACAGTCTGCACATCGTTCTATCACACATAAAAGGGAAACTCCTCTTTTACCTCCACTATCGCCAATAGTAGAGGAAGCATCTAATTAATAAGTTCAAACACTTCCACATACCTCTTGTCACCGGTGATAAAAGTAAAGGTGGATAACTAACATGTTGTGCACTTTTAACGAAGTGAAACAGTAGTGTATGGACATACCACAAAAAAATACCGCGCGGTTGCACGTCGGAGCACATGTCTTGGGATAACCAGGAATCGAACCTGGGTCCTCTCGGTCGTTGGTGATGAACCACAACGAGAAGTACTGACCACTATACTATTATCCCTAGTTGATGAATACCCCACCATGATCTATGTCACCATCAAGGTGGCGAACGAAGTTAGGCAATGAGCCGTGCAGCGATCTATTATTGCCCGCCTGATGTGGATAAAGAAAGCATCAAACCATGTTGTGGTAGTGGGAAAAAAGAAGTTAATAATAATGAGCCATTACCATTCACCAATCCAAGAGTAGACAGGTAAAAAATACCATCAACCTTGCGTCCCTTCTTCAGTGGCTAACATGGACGAAGAAGGTACTAATAATACTAACGTTAGCAACAGCCCATGGGATACGGCGATCATCATGACTCTCGATACAACCGATGAGCAAAATGTTTCGAGATAAAACAATAAAGGTCATCTGCCGGCCCACCATATATCCCCAAGCTCAGCTGAAATGCAGCTGAATGGAAGACAGGAATGATTCCACAGCCCTATCATATCCTCGCAAGGCGCTAGTTGCGCCAGTATATACCCTCTTGGCAACCGCAAAGGGTATATATCGGCCACTAGCTGATCAAAACTTCGGCTGAGCCTTACAGGCACGTTGTCTGATAGGCCAGAGAGAGAGGACGTAGGAGAAGGGGCAAGAGTATGGGGAAACAAGCCCGCTCCGACGCGACCTACCTTTCAGCCCTGGGGCCGAGAAAGAGACCGTGCGAATGAAAGCACGGTAATTACCTCCCAATGAACCTATTCATATTCAAATGGCCATGGCCATGGCCATGGCCGGCCGCCTTGAATGGCCCACTTGTGTGTCTCGACTCGCGCCGCGCCTGTCTTCCATGCAGAGAAAACGCCGCGAGATGCCGAGAAGCGACGTCGACGTTATCTCTCTCCAATGTTTTTGTGTTGCATCAGTCCCCGCGGCTAGCAAAAGCCACGTCGTCTCACTGGGCGGCACTGGCTAATTACCAGTCAGACTGCGCTCATTGCTGACATCCCCACAGGTGTGTGTCCATAATGGCTTCCAGAAGACGAGAGCCAAAAAGATACCCCACAAGTTCCCCATAGGTGGGAACGAGGATGCAACGCTCGAGGGGCTGCTCCCCTATATAGGCCCCCCATCTCATATAGGTCAGGCAAGCAAGGCAAGTTCCGTGCATACCAACGCCTCCAAGCGACCCCTGTTGGCTTGGATGGGCTGCGGGCATCATTCCCAGAACGCGTCATTGGCGCTAACGGGGTAGCGAAGAAAGGGAAGCCGAAGGTAGGGAGGAGGACGTTGGTATGTGATAGGAAGAAGTGGATGAGATGAGTAAGGGCAGGTGTCGGCTTGCAAGCCTCCAACAACCGCTCCCTTGAAAAGCACTGGCCGCGAAGGGGGAAAGGGGACGGGACGAAACGCAACGCAACGCCATGCCTTTCTGGGTACTAGGGCGACCGAGGTTTCCCAGGAAGGAGCAGTAAGCGAGCGGCGGTGGCGATGCTCCTGATAACTTTGAGAGCTATTCCCTGGTGCGGGTAAGAACTTTTACTCCACTGAGGAAGCCTCTCGATGTCTTCCTCGGCCAACGCCCAGGCAGCAGCCTCTGGTAAGGAGAGACAACACTCGGCTGAAGTAAGCAGCCTTACTGATGAGACGTTAGTTAAGGTACTTTTTTCTTATGGGATGGGCATACAAACACTACACATGTTTCGGGAAGAAGGAGGCTCAAGGAGAAGAATATCCCCGAGGTAATAGCACATGACGTACATAATGCAAGCTTTTTCTGTTTGACAACTCATCACTGGAAGCCCTGTCAAGCTGAGCTGAGGTAATTAGACCATGTCTTAGGCATGTGTACGTCTCAGACAAGTTCCGGTCCGATGACGAGCAGACCCGCAGGGAAGCAGGTCGAAGGGGGCTTGGTGGTGCAAGATGCGGCCGTCTTTTCTTACCGGCGGTGTCGAACGACAGTAGCACACGATTGAGCCCTGTGAGGCCTGTGCTGGTTAGCAAGGGCGGTACAGCGCGCTAATCGCTAATCCCGCATGATGGATGACTTCCAGGGTTGATCCAAGATGATGGAATCAAGAATGAGGCTGGTCCAAGACACCAACGCCAACCGACGCCACCTTTGGGCTCGTGCAGGGCAGTTGGATAAGAAAAGAATGCTTTAAGGTGCTGATAGCGTGTGCGCTCTGCTGGAGAGCCAGAGAAGCCCGCGACTGCGAGGCACGGTGGAAAGGCGGCAGGGCATATGCATGCAGAGAGAAAACGGCGAAAGCGAGCGAAACAGGAGACCGAGCTGCTTCAGTGACAGTTGGCGATACCTACACACCATCTCGCAATCACGTTACTGCTGAGGTCTCCAAGGAACGCACAGATCCTGCCGCTGCTGTCTCACTCGCCTAACCAATAGGGCGCACAAGACCCCTGCTCACCTGGACTGCGGACCTGACCCCTGTTGCGGCGAGCTTGGCGGCGCCGGGTTGCGATTGGGCCAGGATGAAGGAATGATGCCATGACTCTCTGGTTCTCAGTTCTCAACGAAACGCCCGCCTTTGCTCGCTTCTGACCAACGTTACGTTTCTATAATCAAGCAGAGTGCAATTGTTTGAGCCAGTTGTGTAATTCCTGGGATCATATTCCAAGTTTGCCGTTGGGATCAGAAGGCGAGATCGGGACAGACGGCACGAGAGGCAGCCATTCAATGTCGCTGGTCTGCCACGTCACCAGCCTCATCCGATCGGGGTTCGCGAAAGGGTCGAAAACCCAACTGTGGCGGAGTGCAGATTCGCACATTTTGTTGGCGACGGACGCAGTGAGCATGGCCGGCGCCCCGCTGTACTCGCCACAGTTGCACTCTCGGATGGTCCCAAATCATACTTGTCGTGCAGAAGTGCAATGCGATGCGATCGGACGCTGCATTGATCGTTGTCGTCTGTCCGGCGTTGAGATCTTCGAGCTACCGTTGGTGCCGGTTGGCAGCCGAGTGTTCTACTCGATGATGTCTTGGAAAGCTGCCAACGCATCTACTTGCTCCAGCCAACGGTATACGACTTTTCAGCTCCATCTGCGTCAGCTCAGCTGCATGTGGCTCTATCTGTTGGATCTTGGCTGCGATCTGTTTTGACGAACGCTGTAAAGTCGTTGGGACCTGCAGCAGACGATGCAGGAATCCAGGAATCCCATAGCGATAGCGCATCCAGTAAGGTGAGTCAGTCACTGTCGATCGATTTCCGCGCTATGGGGAGTGTTGCATTTTGAGAATTCCCAGTCGGTCGACCTGGGATCCTTCTTGAGCCGTTCAGTGATCGTGGGTTCTTCGCCGACTGCGTTGCGAGAGACCTACGTTGAAATGTCAAAAGTGACAGAACTTAGCCCCACCTTCGCAAAGAGGGGAAGCGTGCGAGACGACTGCCTTTTGCACTCTTCGCGGAGCTGTGCCGTTGCAGACCAGCACTGTTAGGTGGGGGGTTGTCTAGAACGGCCTCCAGTGAGGGGTCAAGACGGCACACCCTCTTTGAGAGAATAGGAAGCTCTTGCAGGACGTTCGCATACCCGGGCGAGACATACAGCAAGAAACCCAGCACCTATCGGATGCCGAGTCTTCAGACAATCCGTCACCGTCGTATTGAAGGCGCGATTTCACCTCAGGAAAACACTTTTCCGGTGCCGATTATGGCAACTTTGGCCAGAACCAGTCGACAGGGACTTAAGTCATCCGGGCAGGGAGAGACATGCAGCAAAGTTCGCAGTCTTATTACAGGCAGGAAGTCCAAAGGAAGAGACCGTTGGGCGTAGTTCAGGGGTCAGTCCTCATGATGCAGGAAGCCGTCTGGACAGGTTGATTCGTCGTAAATGCTTGGATTTGAGCCAATCAGAAAATTCATGCGACTTAAACCACCTCTTGCAAGCCTCCAGGGCTCGGTCGACGAATGAGGGCTTGACAGTGCGGCGCTTCTCGAAACACTGGCTGCTTGGTTGGGTGGTTTACGGAGCTGGGGTATGGCAATTCTCATCCTCCTCATCACATTCGATTTGGTTCGTGTCTGCAAGAGACGATGTTGGAAGAGGCATTGGCTTCCGGGACGTTGGCAGAGATTGCAACCCCACGTTGTGCTCCCCCAATGCGACCAGAGTATTTCCAGCAGATGCTTGGTGAGCGCATCTTCGGATGACTGAATTAATATCTTCTGTTTGCCGGTATAAGGCCTGAGGTTGTTAGGTGTTTGGTAATCTCGAAAGCCACAGCTGCAATAATTTTCCGAGATCAAAACATGTCGGTTGCCTCCAAAACACTTTTAGCGTGGCTTTTGGATCAGAGCTTCGCACGCGCACTTGCAGATGCATCTCGTCGACAGGCGTCCGGGCGATCGCCGTCATGGGTCAAGCTGCAGAGGAACTTTTAAGCAGAGACAGTGTGTGAGACATGCAGTAGGTCGTTCTGAAAAGTGTGGTGGAGGCGATGGCGAGCAAGAAGTCTGAGTGGACGATTCTCAGACGACCTTACAGAGTAGAGGAGCGCAAAATGCTTCGAAAATGGCAAAGCGTCCGGTTCAGCAACGCCCGTGCTGTCCCAGCTATTCCTGGAGCCTCTGCCGATGAATGAGCGGTGATCAGGACGATGCTGGTTGAAAACGAGGTTTTCTTGGCTTTTCTTGGCTTTCTTGAGGAGGAGCGGGAACCGGGAGCAAGGACAAGCTGTCTTGATAAGCTTGGTGGTTATGCCCACATGGGCCGTCAAGATCCGCCCGTCAAACCGCAATTATCCGAAAGCGCACTCCCGTCGTTGAGCCGCTGAGCACTTCCCCGGTCTCGCCTTCCCTTGCCAATGGTCTTTGCCGACCGCTCAGCGGCTGCCCTGACCTAGGTTCACCCACCAGAATACCCATTAACAGAATCCCATTAATTCGCTCGATCATGACATCTCCTTTCCCGCGATCCATGGTGCATCGACATGTGCTCCACCAACTAACTGGACAGGCGCTGCAACAGGAGAATATGCAGCGTCGCAATAGCATCTTTCACTGGTCTCGAAGACTTGAGGGCGAGCTGGCCTACCTAATGCGGGCAAAG